TTATGACGCTGCTACAATATTACAGACTAATTCCTGTGCTGTGCCTTTTATCCCTGTAGCTTATTCGTTCCCTACCTGGAAACTGTACCTCCCCCTCTCCTTCACCCGTTTGGTCATCCCTCCCACCTCCCCCCAGAGATTTGTTTTCTTGATGGCTGCCTTCTTCTACCCACCAGACCCTGAGCAGGGACGTGGCTCCTCACAGCCACATCCTAAACCTACCAGAACAGTCAGCTTTCATTAGAAGTGTGTTGAGTGCACTCACAATTAATCTGATTTACATTTTAAATAGATCAACTCTGGGGACAACAGATTTAGGGGAGTCAAGAACCAAAATGAATAAACCCATGAGGGGACTTTCACAGAGGCCCAGAGGAAAGACAAATGTGGGAGAAGTATGAGGGTGAGAACTAGCACCATGGTGGTTACAAAACCGTGTCATGAATGGCCCCTGGTGTTAGAAAATTCACATCGCACAACTGTCCCCAACGTAATGATGGGACAACTGTTTTCTTCAGGTGGGGCCATGAACTCATAAAAAAGAGGTATTTTTAAAAGCTGCTGAATTGAGCAACTATTCTTCTGTACTCCTATGTTCTCAAGCTCAAGTTGATAAACTGATATAATTTGACAAAATCTATTAACACTAAAACAATGCACATGCCCCTTGACCTAAAAATTTTCATTGCTAGGAATTTATCATCTGTATATACTCACAAAAGTATGTCAAAATATACTGCAGGGATGTTCACCTTGTCATTGCTTATGATATCCCCAAACTGGAAACAACATGAACATCTGTCAACAGGAAACTGCTTAGAAAAACTTAAAAAAATTTTACACAGCTATTAAATAAAATGAGGAAAGAGCTCTAAGGTACACTGTATGCACTTGAAACTCATGTAACATTGTGTGTCAACTATAGTTCAATTTAAAAAAAGAAATATTGTGTATTTAGAAATATCCTATTTGCGGTAAAACAGACACACACAACATTGGTATTGATACGATATGTGATGTACAGAGGGAAAAAGGGAGAGAGAAATACTGATGTAAACAGAAAAGTTTTCTTTTCTGAAGGCTATATAACACAAAGAATGGTTATCCTTTGAAGAGAGAAGGAAACTGGGAGTGGTAGAGAATCTTACTTTCGCACATACCTTTATGAATTATTTGATTTTTTTGAATGGTGAACGTGTATTTTAATTTTTAAAACACACAAACATCATCTCTTTGAGACAAACTAACAGAATAAATAAGAATGTACCCGATATATCATTACTTGCTTTCTGATTTTATGGACAGTAGCTCCAATGACTCATTTATATACACTCCATGAACGAACACACATACACGACATGCACGCATGCAGATGAAAATATATCTGAACGCTGTTAAATGCAGTGGGACAAATGCCTTTGGTTAGAACACACTAGATACACAGCCCATCTCCCGAAGTGACCGCCTTCCAGGGTAGCGCCAATCGATGCGCAATTTGTGATTAAACAATCTGAAAGCAGTTTTCGACAATGCTTGCTATCCTGATTGCCGGCGCTTCAATGACCATGTTTTTGTCCTCGAAAAGAGACACGAACTGGTCCATTGCTTAAGGAAGCCTCTTTTTAGCCTCTTTCAGCTGTGTTGCCATTTAATGTGAAATGATGTTTCCTTCCATTCCTACAGTGCAATCCATTCCCTCAACAAAGCTCTCTGTTGGCTCCTATGGAAAAAGTACCACTCAAAAGAAGATGGATACCGCTTTCTTTTCTATGACATATTTATTTTATTTATTTTACTTATGCTACAGGGGCTTACATGGTAAAACAAAATCTATGTAGGGAAAGGGAAATACACCTCATATATTCTTAAGAAAGTAGTCTATGTTGCAGGTTTTGTAAAAAAAAAAAACAAAAAACCCAAAACCAAAAACAACAACAACAAACTACATTATATTCAAATAGCTCTTTCAGTGGCAGTTAATTATCTTGCCTTGACTTCAATCACCTACCTAGTCTGCACAAGGACTCAATCTCTCTCAATATTACCAAAAGAGGGGCGGGCTATGTTTGCAGAGTTCACTATATCTGCTCTAAACGATTTCTAACCTCAGGAATGTAAAATGTTCACCACATCCACTTTTTCTTTTCAGTTGTAAATGTATTTCTAAAGCAAATATTCTAATTACCATTTACTGGAAAGTCACAGAATAGTTGGGTATTTTGCAAGTCAATTCAGGAGAAAAATAGAAAAACTGGTTAAGTCCAATTTCGGTGAGGTTAAACAGCAGGCCTAAGCACACAGACAGAGCCACTCACCAAGCACCCCCTGGGTCCCACATTGTCATGTTAACGACAGCAAACAAAAGACCTGAGGGCAGAGGAAGGAAGATTACCAGTCCGCACTAAAACCAGGGCAGTAGTTCTCCTTTATCTCTTTTTAAAGACCCACCTGCAGGGACACATACCAAGTTCTAAAGTATTAGGTCACTCCAGGTCATTTGCATTTTTCTACCCAACGACGAGGAGAAACAGCAAACCTTTATTACTGAAAAGCACCATGCTGAAACAAAATCACATTAAACCACCCAGAAATGCGAAAGCTGTGATGCCCCGACGGGGACGGATCTTGAATTGCTGAATGATTTCTGACCAGGGAGGGTGGGGGAAGGTGAGCGAGCCCGGAGGAGACATTCCCCAGAAGCAAAACCTGAGGCTGGGGGCTGGGATACTGTAAGGCAGGACCCCGCAGATGGAGCGGAGAGGAGGAACTCTGCTGAGTGAGGTCTAGACTCAGTCTTAGCCAATGTAGCCGATGACACCCGTGACCTGTGGGAAGGAGGAGACTGCCAACTCACTCTCCTGCACAGAAATCAAGTTTCCAGAAGCTCAAAGTGTTAGTGACTTCACTTGGTAATTACCAATACCCCCAAAGCAGCGCTTTGTAAGGCGGCACCAAGCCCTGTGGAATGCCTCTGAACTAGATTAAACCACCAGGCTAGTAATTAAACCAACTTTATATGGGAGAGGTCTCTTGCTCAAACTTGAGCAGTCCTGCTCATTTCAGGAGAACGACTGTAGCACAAAAGTGGAAACAAGCCACTTCTGAGCCTCGGTGTCAGCATAGACACCATCCTCAGCAGCCTCTGCTCTCCGAACTGCGAAATCGGGAGCCCAGCTTCTTGCCAGGGGTGGGACGGGGGACTTCGGTTTTACAATGCGGCAAAGATGCAAAGGGCTCTCAGCCTTGTATCATTTGCAGGTAGTTGAACAGTCTCCGTTTCTGTGTCAGCAAACAAGTTTTTACCATTTTATCTTTCGAGACATTTCTCGAAATATAGCAATCACTGCTATAGCAGCTAAGTGCTTTCGCACCAGACAGCCCGCCGAAAGACTGCCTGGCATCTTGTCAGAATGACATGCTGCCACATCGTGTTACAGTCTGCAAAGAGCCTAAAAATTTAGAAGAGAAGATGATTTCTCCTCAGATTTATCAATGCTATGCTTTGTGACAATACGGGCTACTTCCTGGGCAGCTGGATAATAACTTGGTAGACGAAACAGCTTTAACAGTGTTTTCCACGGCGCAATCACACACCGAGCATTTGAAGTGCTACTTAAAGAATCGGCAGATTTATTCCTAAACATCACATATGTCTAAACATAAGGCAAGATTTTTCCCCCCTAGAACTAACCCCAGAAAAGAAGGGGTCGCATGATATTCCATTCTAACTAAGTCTCAGATCATGGGGTACTTTTCCAACCACTTCACCTTGACATGTAGAGTAGCATTCGGGGAAGGGCAGATTTGCTTGAAACAACGTCAACTGTTACCAACATTGGATGCCTGCCAAGATCACCTGCAAACCTTGAGTTTTAAAAAAAGGGTGAAAAAGGTAGGATCTCACAAATGCTGTGTTGGATGTCAAAACCCGGCACTGAAAGTTCACTCTCAGAAGCACTATCGGTTGTTACAATATGGGACCAGGTATGTCCACTCAGGGTGAACTGGGAATAGGAAAAAAGAAACAACTGCCCTAACGTGATCTGTCTGTGGGATAACGTTTCCAGGGACAACACTGCACACGGAGTCCAAAAGTGCTTCACCTTGCCAATGTGGGATACAAATGAACACAATGTACTCTGCAAGACCATGTGAATGGCTGATTCAGAAAGTGGTGATCAAAACACTGATTCAAAATTCTTACGAAGAGTTTGAGCAGAATACTTCTTGACATGTACATACAGAAAAGAGTAATACCAATTTTATAAGACAGGATTTTGTATATTTATGGGGAAATAAATGAAAACTATTTTACATAAACATCTGACTTGAGGTTTACTTATTCCTAAAGGTTTCCTTAAGTCAAGTTGGCCATGAAAAAGATTTTTTGAACCTTCTTATTGAAAAATGGTAAACACCTTATGTCTGATAAAGCCTTATAGCTGGGCATATATGGAGCTAATTCTAATACATTCCAATTCAACTTTTTGGTAGAGGAATGTGACTAACAAATTTCAAGAATTTTCTGAAAGCCTGGTTTTGCAATTATTCTGAAAAACTGTTTTCTAAATGAAAAATACATATGGTTAGGGCCGGAACATACAGGATCAGAAAATAAATTCCCCATCTGGTCTGGGCTTTTCCTTGAACTGAGCGCTCAGCCTATCTTCCGAGAAATGGTACCCTGTGATCCTTGCATCTATCCTTCATAGAGGGCAGTGCTGATAATTGGGTTTTTGTACTAACAACAAATCCAAATAAAGTTCCAGCCATTGTTGCTGCAAGGAGCAATGCAGCTGGGCAACACTAACATCACAGTCATCCATGATTAGTGTATTCTGAGGGCGCTCTATGCGCCCCCCAAGCAGAACATCTTCTCCAGGTCCCAAAATGTGAGGAATCGATTTCATGCTGAGGAAAAGTTTATTTACATAGTTCACCCCATTTGCTAATTTAGGAGATGAACACGCAACCTAATAATTGACTGAAAGGAAAGTTACCTTGTAGATCCCAAAGAACCCCAGGTCCCTTACGACGGACAGGGCACTGACTCGGGGACCAGTGGTGATCTCTCCAGCCACTTGCAAACGGATCTTGACAATTTCCAAAGGATTCGTGAAAATCACCTGGGAGCCTCCTGCCTAAAACAGAGAAAAAGTAAAGATTTAGGACCAAAGAAGGGTAAGGGTAAGATGGGTTAGGAAGAGGCGAGGGATTATCCTCCACGGAGCACAGAATATTCTATCTTCAAGAGACTGTAGTTTCGATCCTGGTTCCATCAATTAAGACAGTGATGAGTTTGAATCAAAATACAGTTACTGCCAAGGCTTTGGGTACTGAGGTCCTATTTCCCTCACGCAGAGGTTGAAAGAGGGAAAAGGGCAGAGACACATGATGTCTCCTGGACCCACCAAAGTCCTCACGTGGAAATGACAAAGATTCCCTGAAGCACAAATAGCGGCCATCACAGGGCTCAAAGCCAAGGGCACAAAGGCAACAATAAAATGAAAATCAAATAGTATCCAAATAGAGACACTGACCTGCTTGTCAGAATAGGAGGAGACAGGGAGGACATAGGTTCTCCCATGATGGGCCTCATGATTCTGGCAATGATTCAAGAATTGCCAGAGAACATGTAAACTTAGATGAAAGCTATTTTTTCTTCTCTTAAAAAATCAGGTCCATCATCAAACACCATTTTATGGAGTCACATATTCTTGTAACTTTATTTATGTATTACCTGTGTATAGATTGCTCTTTTCATATAAGATAAATGTCCACGTAGTAAAAATATGCATTAAGTCAATTATGGCCCAAACTTTGAGCAAAGTGTGTTATTTCATTCCAGCAGTGGCTGGGTGCCCCACCTCCGAGATCATCAGTGGAAATCTTTAAAGTGTACAATAAGGGAAATTTTAAGCTAGTTATTTTGAAGCTAAGCCTATATTTATTATAAGCAATTACATTCTTTCCCACTGTACTTCGACTTGTTATTCCTTGTCACAAATACATTAAATTTTTATTTCACCCACACTAAGGTTGACACAGAGTATAGTTCAGAATCTTTATTACATAGTGATGTTACCACACTAGACCACAGACGTGGTGCTGATATTTTATAGCTCAGTTGGTGCCATCATGGTAACAAGCATAATTTGGACTAATATTATACGTAACTACTTCTTGCTAGATTCTCTGACACCATTAACCAATGTATGTGCCCTCACAAAAGGGCCAGTACTGATCAACACTGGCTACAAAGATGATCTTGGAAGTATCATTTATAATGCTTGGAAATAAAAATTAGGCACAACATAAATATCCAATGGTCAGGGATGGATTAAATGAATTTAAGTATGTCATGCAATGAGACACTATGCTGCCAATAAAAAATACTGTGGGAAATGTTCAATATATATACTGGGAAGTAAAAACCCTCATGTTTAAATGCACGTACCACTTTCCCCATATCCCTTACTGTCGTGTAGAGAATACGCCAGAATAGTGCTTTTGAGATGGTAGATTACCAGTGGTTTATTTTCTTTTCTGCTGTATTTGTATTTCTTCTACCTAGATCATCTATAAAGATGTTTGTCTTCTATAAAGAAAAACAAATACCTCTACATAACTTATCTGATATACACAGCCGTATTAGCCAAAAAAAGCAAAGAAATCTGTTCACCCATTAATTCTCTATAAATCAAATTGCTTTTCCGCCTTTACCAACTTGGTATCTTAACCAAGACACACCAAGCTTTCCCCTCTCTCCACACATTACAACTGTCCTGAAGGCAGCAGTGTTGTCCGGTGTCTCGGCTGCCACATGGGCCACCCCTCCTCACTTACTTGTTTCACCCATCACCTTCTGCTCACCTCCTCTCAGGAGGCGGGCCAAACAATCTTGGTAGGAGAAGACCGAGGATGGATTCACCAAAAGGCCCCAGAAAGGCCCTGGGAAAGTGGGAAGGAGAGCGTGGGCGACAAGCCCAGAGGCCAGTGTGTTCCTCTGGTCCTCTTCTCTTTGGCTCAGAAGACCCACGCTTTGCTCCCACACCGCTGTGACCTGAAGGGAGGCGGGAGCACCAACCCACAGCCTGTCTATAGCCCTTCAGGATTTTGTGGGCTCGCACCTGCATCGTTCCACGTGACACAGAGGGAGTTAAGGTTGGCAGAAGAAGAGAGGCAATGGACCTGGCTGAGTAACAGCACCAATGGCACAGTGAGGATTATGGCTGTGCTTCTTGACCCAAGCTCCTGAGTTGCAAAAATGAATAGAAATTTATTTTAAAATTTATTTTAAAATCATGGGGGCAGCACTACTGAGGAAGATTTGCGGAGTTGGAATTAGTCTGAGGCTGATTTTTAAAAGCTCAGAAGTGGGCGAGAGCATCTCTATCAAGGGCAGAATGGAAAGTGGTCTGCGTACATTGATCTTGAAGAGCAGCAAAGGAACACAAAGCAGACTCACCATGCACTGCCAACACTGGGTGGGGAGGCAGCTGAGCACCCCATGTGCAGACCGAGCCCCAGTCCCTATGTGTCAAACCACCTGACTTCATACGAGGCTCCAGGAGATGGCAACCGGACCGCAGCAGTGACTCCAAACAGGATTCTTTTCCGGTCTCCCGAAGCGATGGTTCTCCTCCCTGGCTGCACGTTACAGTCCCTTGCAGAGCTTTGAAAAGTAGTGACTTCTAAATTCTACTCCAGGCAAGTAAGAAATTCTGCAACCACCCTTTCAAAAACGGTTCCTACGTGATTAAGATGTGCAGTGAGAGCTGAGGGTCGCCTGACTTCACTGCATCGCTGCCACGATCCCTTTGAATTCTGAGAGGCTGCTTGACAGGCTTCCTTACAGCTGGGATTTCTAATTCCAGTTTTCCACTTTCTTTCAGAGAGCAACTTTTATGTTTTACATGTAATCTCACAACAAACTTTTTACACAGATCCAGGTGGTGCCATTGGTAAAGGGACAGTTCTTAGGTACAGAATTGCTCTTACTCATCCTCTTGCATCTGCACTAACACTCGTCAAAGTTCATGTTATATACCAAATAAGAACTTAATACTCAATGCCCTGACTCCAAGCCAATCGATAGATACCGATTCTTTTAGCACTGCAGAGTGAATTCTAATCCCTAGGGACAATGCGAAAGTCAAATCCACTTCAGACAGCTGCAGGGAACAGACACAGTGGGAAGAGAGGGTAAGGATACTGAGACAAAATGATGGGCTCCTTGCCTCGGGTGGGCTCAGAAAGAAAGAGCTGACAGACTCAAAGTGGCACATTGTCGAGGTTTTGAAGATGAATCAGTCCTTTGGAGTCAAGCTAGGAGGAAATGAGAGACTCTGAGGCCCCGAGAGACGATGCTTATCATCAGATGCACAGTGTCTGGGCATCGCCACGACTTGATCACTGAACGGCACACTGGCCGCAGCGCTCCCGGCTCCCAGCCTATTGTCCATTCACAGCGCCTTACCCCTGTCTCTCCCCCGGGAGATCAAAGACAGCGGGCTCCACGGGCCCGCCAACAGGAACACCTATTGTGTATGATGGCTTTGTGTCTCTCATCACTTAGAGACCTGGCTGTGTGAAGACGCTGTTGTGTGTGCATGTGGAATGTGGTCACAAATCACTTCCCTGGGACCTTCTAGAATCTGTGGCAAGTAGGACAGGCAAAGATTTTCTACACTAGGACTGGCTCTGTGTGGGGCATCATCTTTACAGTGAGCACACTGACTTGTCTATAGCTTTCCTGGTATGTTCCTTCTTGCCGAAATCATAGTTGCTACCCAGCATCTGGATCCATCTAAAGACAAACACATGTACTTAGAGCAGACTCCACTTCTGCTACCTGATCATTCTGTCATTGACATCATAAAAATTCACCACATATTTAGAAGTAATCGAGCTCAAATTTGTCCTAAGAACTCCAAGGACACGAGGTGAGTGAGAAAGCATTCCTGTTCTCAAGGAGCTTGAAATAGGAGTGAAGTAATAAATACTCATGAAGCACCCATCACTGGCTACTGGGGTACTGCTTTGCATGGATTACCTATCTTTAGCCCTCTCAGAGGTATTTTTTCCAGATTTTACAGAAGAGAAAATTGAGGCATAAAACATTAAAGAAACTGTTATGGGCTGAAGTGTGTCCAACAAAATTCATACACTGAAGTAAGTCCTAACCCTCAGCACCTCAGAGGGTGACTGTATTTAGAGACAGGGCCCTTACAAAGGTGGTTAAAGGAGGAAGAGGTCGTATGGGTGGGCCCTACTCCAACGTAACTGCTGTCCTACTGAGATATGGACACAAACGTGCACACAGAAAAGACCACGTGAGTGCACAGTGAGAAGGCAGCCACCATCAAGCCAAGAAGAGAGGCCTCAGAAGAAACCAACCCTGCCAACACCAGCTTGGACTTCCAGCCTCCAGGGATGTGAGAAAATAAATTCATGTTGTTTAAGTCACCCAGTCTGTGGTGTTCTGTTAGGGCAGCACTAGCAAGCTAATACAGCACTTACACAGGGCTACACAGACAGCAAGCAAAGGATTTTCGACGAGACCCAATAAATATATGCCTTATGAATAGGAAAAAATGGCACATGGGAAAGAGCAATTATAATATACACGAGGTAAGGTCCAGACAAATTGCCATGGCAATTCGAACGAGAGCAAGACTTCTGCTGGCTGGGATAATGTGGGGAAGTGGGAAGGCATATAAGAAAATAACACATCAGCCAGTGACTGCGTGCAATTAGGGTTTAGCTAATCCAGGCAGAGAATGGCACGAAGGCACAGTGACGGGGGCCTGCCACACTTACAGGGTAAAGAGACCCAGCACCACATCTGTCCAGTAAAATTTTAGTAAGAATGATCATTATGATGAGATCAACATCATCATCCACTGGCATTTATTTGGATGCTAACTATGTACCAGGCATTATGCTAAGAGCTTTGTAAGAATTTTCCCTTTTGGTCTTCATCATATAAGGTGGGTAATATTCTTCCAGTTTTATAAGTGAGCAAAAGCGAGCCCGAATGGGTGAAGGAGCTCATGTAACCTGCCCGAGATCACAAAGCTGGGAAGGGGGAGCCTGGACGGAGAGCCGACCTGACGGAGAGCCGACCTGCCGGAGGCCAGCCACGCCCTTACACCACGGAGCACCACACGTCCTGGCAGCTCGCAGAACCAACCAGCCACCCGCATTGGGCACGCAGGGCTATGAGAGAGAACGCTGAAGATAAGGCCACTGGGGCCAAATCGAGGCAGGCCTCGAATGCAACTCTGAAGACTCAGGCTACATCCTGCAGATGGTACCTTCCTGTGTTCATGTGCTGGGAGCAGAGTAGGTCCTAAATAAAGTTTAGGAGCTGGAGAGTGTCATGACTAATACCTATGTCTCAGAAAGACAACTACGCAGCAGAAAGGAGAGGGTTCAGGAGGGAAGGAGAGCCCTGAGGCAGGGCTAATAATTAGGGTTTTAGTAGACTAGGTGGGAGATAAAAAAAAAAAAAAGCCAGAATCAGAACTGCACCAGTAATAAGGTAGGGGTTAGGGGGTGGGTGAATAACGATGCAGTAGGGAGCACCAGGGCCCGGCTGCTGAATGTAGGGCCAAAGGAGTATGTAGGAGCAAAGAAAGGACCCATCGTTTTATATCTGTGTAACAGGAACACAGGGACATAAGGATGGGGGACACATCCAGAAGGCAATGAAAGGTGTGTTGGGAGTTAGGGATGGAGACGGACGAAGGCGTCATCCCACATCTGTGCTAACCGAAGGCAGGAGCTCACATGGGGTCCAGGGAGATGAAACACCAGGAGTGGAGACCTCAGAAGTGACGAGAAGCCTCTGCCACACACCACGGACCACGGTGCACAGCAATCCAGGCACAGAAGTCAAGAAAGGGGCTTCCAGAAGAGAGAAGGCCAACAGTGGCACAGGGAAGCAAGGTCCAGCTCATGGTGTGACCTGTGACCAGGAAGACGGGAAAATGGATGCTGGGGAATTTGAGTTGTATAAAAGGGAAAGAGAAAGATGATGTCATCTATGGAAGCCAGCAAGGTAGAATGCAAATGCATTTAGCGTAATTAAGGAGAAAAGTTCTGGGGGAGAGTGAAAAGATAAAACAGAGCTGGGGGTGATTATGTTACACTTATGCAAAACAGCGCAGAGGTTCTGGGTGGGGGAGGAGAGGAAGGCAAGGTGTGGAGCTGGGGTCTGCCCTACTACTTATGCTCCAGAGATAAAAATAGAATCAAATGGATCAGAATTTAGCAAAAGGAGATGATGAAAGCTCTGAAGCATAAGCCAAACACAAAACAACAAATGACCTCTGAGAATCAACAGTAAATGTAATATTCTGGCTCTCCAGAAGTTAGGGTGAAGTTAGTCCAACGTGCAACCCAGACAGGTCAACGAGATAGCTAATGACGTCTAAAGATGAGTCCAATGCAATGGCTCACGCATTCCACCCCTCAACTCCAACAGACGAAGACACGGCAGGCTGCGGTGTACCTACGTGCTATTTAGGGCTGTGATCTGCACCTGCCCAAGGGGACCCAGAGCCACGGGCAGCACCACAGTGGGTTCCCTACTGAGACCCCACTGCGTGCACAGGACTTGCAGGTGAGGAGTAAGTCAGTTCAGTGAGATGTGGATTCTTACCCAGGCTATTACCAGGTACTGAGCAAGAACATTTCATTGCCCACCGCATTAGGGGTGAATACGAGTATCAGTGTGACAAAATATTTTGGAGTTTTGTTTTTTTTTTTTTAAAGAAATTCATGTGTCCACTCTAGAGCAGCTGTGTAAGAGTGAACAAAACTAGGAAGATCCCCACCCTTACGGAGCACACGTTCTAGAAGTTATTTATAGGATTATGTGAAGATTAAACGAAAGCATGCACATAAAGCACATACACCAGTGCCTAGCACACTACTCAATCGAT